AAGGATATGTGCTTATACAGTACCTTTCTACTTAGGCCCTCAGAACTTCCTTCTACAAGTATCATTCACTCACACACACATTCATGAAGCACTTTTATCTTCTATCTATGCTTAAGGGCTTTTATCTAACATTCACACTCCAATGGTTGCATCAGGTGCAACTTGTGGTTCAGTATTTTGCCAAAGAATACCTCAACATGCGGACTGGATTATCCGAGGATCGGTCCACCAACCTTCAACTGGTGGACAACCCACTTTACCACCAGAACGAGTGATACCACCCAAATTTTAATTTTGGTGCTGTCCAGCAAGCACCGCAGCCCTGAGTTGTTGCTGATTCAACAGCCTGAGCAGTAAAAACTTCAGCAGAGGTTGAGCCAAAATGAAAATTGAGATGGCATTGATGCTGATGCCTGCTTTATTTTGTGATGTCATAGCCTAAATAGGTTTCTGTTTTTGTGCTGGTTTTAGTTCATGTCAAACTATGTGTGGTGCTAGAGCAGCTTTTCCACATGGGGCTCTAAATCTTCCGGTTGTTATTGTCTCAAAGGTCTGGAATGTTTGTTAAAAGGAAATAAATTTAGATACAGCTGAAAAACCACATGCCCTTATATGTTTATGTAGCTAGGGTTTACATAAATCTTTATGGTCAGTTTTACTCCTCAAACATGCACACACACTCACAGGCAGAAATGGGCAGCTGTAAAGTGCTCATTCAGCGCAGCAGCTGCATCAGCAGAGTAGAATAGAAAGCAGCGTTTTTGTCTGTGTGCATGGTTGAGAGAGAGGAAGAGAAAGTGTGCATGTGTGAGGAGTTAGGGGTGATGGGATCTCTGAGCAGACAGAGGGGAATCACTGGTGCTCTCAGTGTCCATTAGACTAACCTCATGGATCAATATTGATCCTTACTACCACCAAGCTCTGTCTAATAGGCTTCTGGCCGCCCTGATACAATGACAGCATTAGCGCACATGTCCAGATGGATGGATTTGGGGGTAGGAGGATGAACCAGAGACAGAACAAGAGAGAGAGAGTGTGCGATGAGAAGGCTAAAAGGATTTGCAGGTCCTGAGGAGAAAGGAGAGGAGACAGTAATGCCGATTATTTGCACAAGACATACAGTGAGAGTAAAAGAGAGAACAAGAGAGCAGCAGAAAAATGGACATAGCTCGCTTATGTCAGCAGAGTCTGAAGCAAGCTGCATTTTCAGTTAGTGCATGTTTTCCTGACTGACTGTTTTTAGAGAACATAAAGGGAAAGTGAGGAAGTCTCTGTACAGCCATAATTGTAAAAGCAGTAGACAACAGTATTTGTGTGCATTTGTGTGTTTGTGTGTGTGTGTGT